AATAAAAAATGCAGAAACAAAAAAGAATATTAAAAACAGTTGGGCTAAAGAAAATAAAAAAGTTTAACTAATGATGTTTTAGTTGAACTGTTTAACTAGAACAGTCGAAGGCAATCCTAAGCAAATGTGTTTTTAGTCTTGATTTAAAGGAACTCAGGCTTTCCGCACTTTTACAGTTTTCTGGAAGTTTGTTCCAGATAAGTGGAGCATAGGAACTAAATGCTGCTTCTCCATGTTTAGTTCTGGTTCTAGGTATGCAGAGCAGGCTGGAGCCAGAAGACCTGAGTGGTCTGGAGGGTTGTTACACTGATAGCAAGTCTGTGATGTATTTAGGTGCTAAGCCATTCAGAGATTTATAGACTAACAGAAGTATTTTAAAGTCTATTCTCTGAGATACAGGGAGCCAGTGGAAGGACTTTAGAACTGGGATGATGTGCTCTACGTTCTTAGTCTTAGTGAGGACACGGGCAGCAGCGTTCTAGATCAGCTGCAGCTGTCTGATCCACCTTTTAGGCAGACCTGTGAAAACACCGTTGCAGTAATCAATTCGACTAAAAATAAACGCATGGATTAGTTTTTCCAGATCATGCTGAGACATTAGTCCTTTAATCCTGAAAATGTTCTTCAGGTGCTAGAAAGCCGACCTTGTAATTGTCTTTAAATGCTTTTGGAGGTTCAAGTCTGAATCCAGCACTACACCTAGATTTCAGGCCTGATCAGTGGTTACTAGCTGAAGCGACTGAAGCTGTGTGCTAACTTTAGATCTCTCCTCTATTGGTCCAAAGAGTATTACTTCAGTTTTGTTTTCATTCAGTTGAAGAAAATTATGGCACATCCAGGCATTGATTTCTTCTAAGCATTTCCTCAGTGCTTGAATTGGTTCATAATCACCTGGTGACATGGTGATGTAAAGCTGTGTGTCATCTGCATAGTTATGGTAGCTGATGTTGTTTATTAACTGAGCAAGAGGGAGCATGTTAACAGAGAGTTAATCTTCCAATGTGAGATCAATAAAGTTCAATTAGAAGTCATGGAGTCTTAACCCTGTATACAGGGTTTATACAGGAAAGAATAACTCTAATTTAATGCTTTTTAATGCTCTTTTAATGCTCTTAGAAATAATTTTAATGCCACCAACAGGTACCCGTCAACAGGCTGCAGCCCCGAATTCCTCGTTTTCCAACCACTTTTGTTGAAATTGGCATTCTTCCCCATTCTCCAGCTTTTTCTCCGACTCAAGCTTCTTTTCCGATTATACGTCTTTGCGATCAAACATAAGCAGTTCCACTCAAATATTTCATGATATATGTCTGACAAAATTATTTTTATAAAAAGTTTTTTTTTTTAAGAAAGCCCTTTAAATGCCACAATAAACTCATTTAATGAATTTTAATGCCAATTAAGGCCTTGATTTAAAAAATAACAAATGAATGACTTTTAATGATTTTTAATGACCCGCGGAAACCCTGGTATAGGGCACTCAGTGAAATACTTTGAAAATGTAAATTTCAAGCCGATAGTGTTATTGGAATCCAGGACAAGACCTTATTACATTTGTAACATTAAAAGAAAAAGGATATTTTAATGGCAAAAATCAATGTCATTGTAATAACAACAAACGCCAACATGCCCGAAGAAAAATAACAAAAATGCTTCTATAAGAAAATCATGAAGAACACTCTGAAAGTAAAAGAAACACTTTTTTTTATTTATTTTTTTTGGTATAACATAACTAACCTGACCCCGCCAGATGGATTTGCTGGATTTGCTCCGCATATCCATCTGGCAACCTTCCGTTGAAGTAATTTTGGGAAGGGGCAAAAATACTGGTTAGCTGATTGGCCTATGTTGGTGATAGACGGGCCAAATAAACCAATCAGATCAACGAAGCATATGACGTACTAACAGAGCGACGACGAAAACACAACCACAAGCCAGGCTACTCTTGCTGCTGCAGGTAAAGGATATTTGCCGTTTATGTTCTTTCAGTGAAGAAATACTCTGTAATTCCGATAAAACTTGCTCGATAGCCACGCTAACGCTAGTTTCATCGGCTGAAGCCGCCATGTTCTTTAGACTGAACTGTCGCGCTTCTCGTTGCGTCACACCTCAACCCGCCTCAAAGCCAATGCTGATTGGACGTTCGTTTGGTGAACGGCTCCAAATTTTCTTCAACGGAGAGTCTCCAGACTGATCTGCGAGTGAAACCTTGAAAGCTCGCAAGATCAGGATGGTCTCACGAGGCTATAACATAACCTTAGAGACATTAATGCTGATACTGGCACTTACAAGTTTTAGTTTATAAACCTAAATATAATTGTTAACTAGGTTTATTAACAGACAGTGAAAGAAACACATTTTTTTGGGTCCAAAATAACCTTAGAGGCATTAATGCTGATACTGGCACTTAATTATTATTATAATATAATTGTTAACTAGGATTATTAACTTTTTTACTTTACCCTTTTATCCTTGTTAACTTTTCTTTCCACTTAATTTCCAGTAGGTAATATATCATTGCAGGGCTCATCTAATTGGTCAAATGCCAAAATAAGATGTACAGCCATGTAGCAGTGTCTTTGCTGAATCATTGGATATAGATCTTGTGCTTCTAGACGTCACTGAGGGACGGGGGACTCCATTTGTAAGCGGTACGCACCGGCAACCCAACAGTTTCGGGAGCGCCTCCTTCCTCCTGTGGTTTACCAGTCAGCTTTATATGTTTTTCTTCACAGTTTTATTGAGGAAACGTTGCAGTTCTACATTTATCTCCAAATCTAAAACACAATAAATGATTCACTCAAAGGTTATTTTGTCACATCCTATTTCCTTCTTCCCATCTGCTGTGTGAGAACTCCCCTAACAATGACTAACAGGATACTGTGGCACCTATACAGTGCGAAAGCAGCAAAATAGAAACCTCACAGGTGCAAAGTTTATCTTTATTCCAGTTTCTACTGATCGGCACCTTTGCTGCTGAGGTCAATGTTTCTATTTTTGATTTTAACATCAGCCTGTACAGTAAGCCTGCCATAACTGAGCCCCTACAGTTTGATTATTTCTCTTTGTCTGTCCGTGCAAAGAAAGTACATTTAGTCACGATCCTTCTTTAAGTTGGGTTTTCCTCGATTAAATTGTTGCCTTCAATATATTTGTTTTTTTAGGTTATTATTTCAAACTACGGTAATAGAGTAGAGAACATCCATCTCAGCCATCAGCCTCTATAAGGAATATCAGTTACAGACAGTACCAGTTTACATCAGATCCAATTTATTTTGGGGATTAAGGTTTTTAATAAAATTAAAACACCACAGTTGGTCACTTTACGACATATGTGCAGTCCCATCCGCATTTATTATATTTTGGTCATTTTCTGTTGCATTGTAACTATTTCTAAAGGACTGTGTTGGGTTTTTTTTGTGGGTTAAACTGTGTTAAAGACAGACGGTAAACAATTGGGCTCCTTATGATTCTCATATTAAAATATCAACACTTTGTCGTGTTTGTTGCAAAAGAAAAATATAAATTTTAAATGATCTCCCCATTAAATTTAAAATAAAAAAATGGCATTAAACATTTCTGCAAAATCCACTAATCGCAGGCATCATATTACAAAAAGCATCAACAGACAAAGTAATTGGTTTTGTCCACTTTAAAGGGATGGGTTTTTTTTTTTACTCTAAGCACTAAAATAAATGTTTATTGTTTTGTTTATTTTCTGTAGTCGATCTCTGCTTACTGATAAAGGACGGGTTTACGACCCAAACTTTGAGAATCGTTGTTCTGTATAAAGAGCTGCTAGAGATGGGAAATGATTATAGATTTATCCTGGTAAAGTTGATTGTTTTTTTCGTCATAAAAAAATGGGATTTATCCTGAATGCCAGTGTACTACAGACTGTTTTTATGGCTTTCTTTCAGTATATGTTTTATGATTATTGTGGCTGATGTCTTGATAAAAAAAAAAAAAGAAAAGTAGTCCAATAGAATATACAGCTAAATGTAAGCTGTATATTCTATTGGACTACATTCCTTCTTAAAGTCGTAGGGAAGTCCTATTGGAATTTCAAATCATTCTGGCTTAAACATGTATATAAATTTACTCTTTATCAGACCATATTGTCCCAAAATTTAGAAAATTTCTATTTAAAAAAAAAAAAAAATCTTGTCTTCAAACTTCCCGTTATCTCATGCCAGTTAGTTCTACATCACCCTGAACACCTACATTCAGCCAATCATATATCAACGGTCATCTGTCAATCAGATTTTTTCGGTCATAGCATCTTGATTCATATGTCGCAGCTAATAAACGCAACGGTTGAAATAAGAATCATTTCCTTTCCCATTGAGTTCCATCCCAGTGTTCACGGGGATGGACGTCTGTGTCTTCAGCAGGCGTAGAGCTAACAGAACTGGCAGCGTTGCGAGGCAAGGGCTCAAACATGTACGGCTGGAAGCTTTCTACACCAAACCAAGCTTCTGCCGCCCTGGCGTCCTCTTTCACAACATCCTCGTCTCATGGTCGTGGAGACTCATCCACAACCTCCGACACTAAATTCTCCTCCTCTTGCACGTTTCCGCTGTCCATAGCGTTCCTTGACAGTGTTGATTCTAAGACAACAATTTAGTGCTACTTGGTCCCATTGGGAACCTACTAGCACTAAGTTGCTAACTGGTTAGCAAGATGCTTCCGATAAACCGGCCACAACCAAACTTGCTTGTGAACGTTCCACCACAACAACTCCTCCCCCTTGATAATCGACCAATCACATTCACTTTATTCTGTCGTGTAAAGTCGGGCACCGTTCGGGAGAATTCGGAAATGCAACGGTTGGAACAGCCGCTTCCCTACGACTTTAAATAACGCAATGAACTTTAAAGCCTTAAAGGTTCAATCCCTAAGTTTAAGGTGATTTTTCTGACCTTCAAGTTTTAACTTGAATTCTCATAAGTCAGAATTGCTCTCATTTTCTCTTCCTCAATTCCTGTATCTCTACTCAGGTCCTGAATGCGCAGAAAGCCGGATATAAGGCAGCCATTGTTCACAATGTGGACTCTGATGACTTAATCAGCATGGGATCCAATGATTGTAAGTTTCTGCTGTTTTCACCCCTCATACCTTGACTCATAGTAAATATACCGGATCTCTTCAGCGCATCAAAGCAGGTTTAATCTAAGCTGCTGATTTTACAGAAGGCACTTTTAGAGATTTGGTTCTGGAAGCTAGAACCAGGAAATGAGTCAGTGTGTCATGATCAAGGTGATCCTTTCTTTAAATGACCTTTTCACTCGTGTCTTTAAAAAAATATGGGGATTATTGTTTAACCATTTCTAAGACTGTAGCAGAAACCTTCACTTAACCAAATAAATAGAACTGAGACTCCATCCATGATGTTATTATAGGTCTATTGATAAAGTAGAATGAATCGGCTTGAAACTGCAGAATAATAACCTTCTTAAGAGTGTGCTTTATTCTTTAAACTTCTTTACCCAATATGGAATTAATTTTAGAGATTAGCTAAAGAAAATTTAATAAAAGCAAAGAACAATAAACAGCAGTAATATTAATCACAGATGAAGCCACTTTAATGAATGCTTATGCTGAATGTGTTGCTCTGTTTTAGTGGACGTTCTGAGGCAGATAGTTATTCCCTCGGTTTTCGTGAGTGCGCTCACCGCTACTACCCTCAAAGATGACTTCATGTACGACAAAGGGTGAGTCTGAAGCCAAGGTGAAATGATTTCTCTCTCAATACCAGGTAATGCCCAGAAATGATTTAAATATCAATCAATTCAAATCAGATTCTCGATATTTAGAATCGATCGATCACACTATCTTTTATAATATTATATCAACATTTAACTGCAAATTAATTGAGTAAAGTGGAACATGCTTTTGAAAAAGAAAATCCATCTTTGGTTTAGTGAATCTGTCTCAAAGAATGAATATGATAATCTATTCAGAATAGGAAAATCTTTTTTTTAACACCATCCTACTCTTTTTCCTGTCAAAAGAGCTGTTTAATCTGATATTAACTGATGCTATAGAATCTAGACTTAGAAAGATTTATTTTGTCATTTTGTAAACACGAATGTAAACAAAAAGAAATTTAATTTAAAACAGCTCTAGACAATTTCATTTTTTTTAAAGTGCAGCCTTGAAAAACACTAATAAATACATAAAAAATATAAATATATATATATTTTTTAACCTATTTTAAACCTCACTGTGAAACATCACCTTTGCTGCTGCTGTAATATTTTCCAATGAACAGACAGCATGCAGGCTGGGAGCTCTCAGTGTGAAGATCTAATTTCCACAGCCTGAAACTAGCTGCTGTGTTTGTGCGCCATCCTGATCCATGAGGGTTGGTCCCACATCTACGCCAGTCATGGGAATAAACAGCAACATGACATTGGCACCGTTTTTTAGGACCGGTTTTACTGGTCGGGCCCCAGCAGAGGAAGTTACCAATTGATAGGAAGTGATGAAAGAATGAAATCTACCCAATGAGAAAACTAAGAATACGCTCACACTGCAGCCTGAAGTGACCTAAATCCAATTTTTTTGGCCCATATGCGACCTGGATCTGATCTTTTCATGGCAGTCTGAACAACACAGATCCGATTTTTTCCAATGCGACCCAGGCCGCTTGGCTATGTGGTCCTGAATCCGATCTTTTTAAATAAGACCTGTGTCTGAACGGCCAGGTCGCAGTCATCCGACCTGGATGCCATTAATACCCGACAAAGGTCACTATTCTGGGTCTTATGAAGAAGCGGCAAGAAAAACAGCAACAATGGTGGAAGATAATGCGGAGAGCAGTATTTATGTTTAACGATCTTGAAAAGATTGTGTTTTTATGGTTAAGAAAGATCGCTAGATGTTCTCCAGCGCTACCATCCATGTTTACTTACGTAAACACAGAGCATTCTGGCCTGTGACGTCATTGCGTCCTCTACTGCGCATGCGGGACAATTGGGTTATATGAATGCAGTTCACACAGCAGATCACATACAAGTCACATATATTTGGAATTGTGAACGGCAACACAAAAAAATCGGATTTCGCAAAAGAAAAAATGGGAATTGAGCATTATAGCCTGCAGTGTGAAGGTATCCAAATTCATTCTGTTTTCATAATGTAGCCCAGATTATTTTTTTCATGGTTTCTTGCTTGTTTTCCCAGAGGGCACTTGGTCCTGATCCCAGACTTCACCCTCCCACTGGAATACTACCTGATCCCCTTCCTCATCATAGTGGGAATCTGCCTCATCCTCATTGTCGTTTTCATGGTGGGTCAAAGTTTTCTACAATAAAACTGGTGTTTAAAGCTAATTTTAACTTCATTGATCCAGGCTTTGAGCTCAAATAGCTAAAAAAAAACACTGAGTCTGGTTCTGCTGGAGGTTTCTTCCTGTTAAAAGGGAGTTTTTCCTCTCCACTGTCGCTACAAGCATGCTTAGTGTGAGGGATTGCCTTCGAGTAAATGAGTCGATGGAATCTACTGGTTTTCCTTAGATCGAAAACTTTGAATAAATTTGACTGGATGATCTGGTTGAACTATAAAGTGCCTTGAGATGACATGTGTTGTGAATTGGCGCTATAGAAATAAACTGAATTTATTGATCCTTTAATAATTAGACTAACTTATGATCTCAAACTCTTGTACAGAGACATGCTGACCTGCGTTTGAACCCACTCAGATTTCTGATCAAGACCAGTAAAAAAACAAATACATAGGAGCAACAATAGCTACAGCCTTTCAGCTGTACGTGTAATTTTTTAATCCTAGTAAAATTAAGGAACGTTTTGGTGTCTCTTGTTCTTTTGCATTCTGAATTAAAATGCACTATCCTTTTAAAAATCAACTAGTATCATTTTGAGGACTCTTCCTGGGTTTATTAAAGTCATAGGGAAGTCATATTTAATTTTCATTTCATTTTGGCATAAACATGTATACAAAAGTACTATTTATCAGACTATATTGTCCCAAAATGTAGAAAATTTCTATAAAAAAAAAAAAATCTGTAAAAACATGTATGGCTGTAAGCCTTCTGCACTAAGCCAAGCTTCTGCCGCCTTGGCGTCCTCTTCCACAACATCTTCGTCCCCGCTTTCCTCCTCTAAATAAAAAGTGGATGACGGAGGAGACTCATCTACGACCTCCGACACTAAACTCTCCTCCTCTTGCATGTTTCTGCTGTCCATAGCTTTCCTTCACAGTGTTATTTCTAAGTTCTACTTGGTCCCAATTTAATTTCCAATTTGGAATCTACTAGCATTAACATGCTAACCGGTTAGCAAGATGCTTCTGAGACACCGGCCACAACCTGCCGCTGCAGTAATCCCGCCCTCTTGATAAACGACCAATCACATTCCCTTTATTCACTCTTGTAAAGTCGGGCACCACTCGGGAGAATTCGGAAATGCAACCGTTGGAACAGCCGCTTCCCTACGACTTTAAAGACTGTTATGAAGGCACCCAGAAAGCCAGTCCTCAGGTAGCGATCCCTCACAGCTGCATCAGGACCTGAATACATTCTCAGGAGCCACGCAGCTAAAGAGCTGTGCATACCGAATGCCCGTTAGGATGGAAATATAACATCCTCCATCACATAAGTAAGAATAAATCAATACACTAGAATAAAGCTCTGCAGTGTGATAACATATTTATGCTGTTTTACTCACCGTTTGTCTGCTTACATCTAAAATGCATGTAGTTAGCAGATATTGAAATGCTCAATAGTAAGTAATCAGATATGCTAAAGCTTTTTCCTCCTCATTTGAAAGATCTGAAGGGGTTCTTGTTTTTCCACCAACACCAGATAACCAAGTTCGTCCAGGATCGACGCAGAGCTCGGAGGAGCCGTCTGCGCAAAGATCAGCTGAAGAAGCTTCCCATCCACAAGTTTAAGAAAGGTAGGAAGAAATAACAGAGACACGTTCATGGTTCCTCTTTAACCGCTGTGATCTAAAGAGGCAGACAATCTGAGTGCCTCTGCACATTGAAGCCCCATAAAGGGCTGGTCATACTCCCCACAGCAGAGTGTCGCCCAATATTGAAGAGTGGTCTCAGCTACGTCATATTCCACGCCACAACGCATTAACTAGTTATGGTCTAGATACGGCCGAGGCGGTGAGGAAGTGGGGGCGAGTTTGTCCGACAACGGAGGGACATGAGGGCCAAAAAGAGCGGGGAAGCAGGTGGAAAAAGGGTCCCAGCGTTCTTGCACACCTCGCTCTTCTAGCTACTCAAACTTCAAGAGTCGTTTTCCGCAACTGCGGTCATACAAACAAAACAAGCCGGCAAGCGGATGTACAGGGTTCCCGCGGGTCCTTAAAAAGTCTTAAAAGGCATTGAACTCTTCAAAATAAAACTAAGGCCTTAAAGCTGAAGTCTGTAAGTTTTTAAAAATCACTTTTTTGTCATATTGGCTAAAACTGTCCCTATGCCCAGACAGCAGTACATGTGATATGTAACCTGTGAAAAAAACTGCTTCAATTGGTACCGCCTACTGCCTGTATTTCAATCTGGAAAGAATAATTCGGGACGAGTCAAAACAACCAATCACAGCCAGAGGAGCGTCTGATGGAGTGTCAATCACAGCTCACACACGCTGAATCCCCCCCCCCCCCCCCCCCTTCTGGTCGCATGCGGTAGCCGCGCAGATGCTGTGAGAGGGGTGGAGCTTGGAGGTGGGGCATGAGTGAAGCAGAGAGGGTGGGGGAGTGGCGTGAAACCTGTTTTTCTTCAAATTTTCAGTCGAAGTCTGCTCTCTTCTCAATGTTACAGACTGCAGCTTTAATTGGTATTAAAATCTCTTAAATCAGTCTTTCGTAGGTCTTAATGTTTAAAACATCATAAATAGGATCATTTTTATTACGATTTATTTTTGTAATCTGAATAAAACATTAAAACTGACTATTTTTTTTTATTTAAAAAAAATAACGGCTCGCCATTATTGGTTCCGTCCCGATAATAGAACCAATAAAAGCGTTGTTGCGGCCGGGACATTTGGGAGATGCACCATTTACTTTTTGTCTGGAAAATATGAGCAAGTGTAAATGTAACCAAAATTGTCTCCAGCCAAAAGTTTTCTCCATGGCTAAAACCAGGGAACATACATGAGGCTCAGTGGATTTTGTGCAAGAAGTCATTCAAGCTCAGAACGATGGGAATTAAGGCAGTGGAGTCGCACATGCGAAGCACGAAACACAAAGCGTCAAAATGGAGTTACAGAGAAACAGCCGCTATTTCTCAATTTTGTTCCACCCTTGTCTCTGCAACGCCTCCACTTATCACCAAATCAAACATACTAAGAAAACGATACAAAGAAAAATAGCTGCAAAAAAGACTTAGCACTGGTTATGTTGTGGCTTTAAAAACTGATTTGTTTTGTTCCCTGCTAAAACAAAGTTTGTGAATTCAGTTAAATAATTGTTAAAATATATCTGTCATTTGTGTGTTTTTAGCTTTCTTCCTGTATGGGAAGCTTTTCAAAATTTGAAACATTAGTGCAGTGGTTTATGTTAAAATAAACCTTTGGGTTAAGTTGTCGCAAGCGGGGTTTTCTTGTGTTTCTTGTGAATTTGGTCTTAAATTTTTATTTCAAGTGGCATTAAAAAGTCTTAAAAAGTCTTGAATTTAACTTGCCTTATGCTGTAGGAACCCTGATGTAGATTTGACCAATCAGACCAAACCTCCTGTCTGCAGTCACCTACAATTTGGGAGAGGTGCAGCAGAGTGTCTGTTCACTGCAACACCTACGCAGGCGACCTGGTTTAAAGTATAAATCAGCCTTAAGTCTATATATACATGGAATGTTAGTTCAGAGGGAAGCTGTGTTTTCACATTAAGGAATGTCTAACTTCCAGAGAAAAGCCACAGCTCTCCCTTTCATATATAGAACAGCAGTCACTGTGAAACTATTCCCATAAACAGATATTGGTTAGCCTGGCCATGACTCCAACCCCTCAGCAGTGATGCCCTTTCCTCTGCTGCTCTTCCTCACGTGATCAACGCCAGAGTGGAAATACCATCGATTCACTAGTATGGAACATCTGTCCTCACCAGAGCTCCGCACCTTGGGAGTTAATCGGATTAATGTGGTTTTTTTTTCCCTGCACAAAGACTACCGCTGCAGCTTGACACGAGTACTGATTTGGAATGTGGTTTTAAAAGTTAAGTTTAATTGCTTTAATTAGAAAGAAAGATGTGATGCTTTGCTTCTTTTTGTGTTTTGTCAAAGAAACCAACTCTAGTTTTAAAATACATTAAAAGTGTAACTGGATCTTTTTTTTTTTTTTTTATGGAAGCCCTGCCTGTGGCTGTACATGGGGAAGCTTTTCCCTTCCTGCTGTGTTTCTTCCCGAAGTTGAATTTTGCAGACTGGAGAGGAGTGACTCCAGTCAGCTGTGCTGGGAAACACTGTGGCGGTTTTAGAGAAAATAAGTGGTGCATAATAAGTAACCCGTCTCTGCTGCAAAGCTTCAGAACAAGGGGGCTAAATGAGACGAGCCCAGAGAGCCCAGACGCATGCAGCCGCGGTCCAGCTGAAGGCGATGAGTGTCGCTCAGATAAGCAGCGGCTGTTTCCGTGAGGAGGATGCAGAGTTTGTACAGTTCAGCTTTGAGCTCTGCTGTACAGAAAACAAAAATATAGTATTTTCAACCAGCTGAGTCGAAGCGTTGGGCGGGAGGAAGGGAAAACAACCTTCTGCGCTGGAAATTTCACCTAGAAATAAGTAAAAATGTCTTAAATTAAGTGTATTTACCCTTAATTTGAGTAGATAAATAAAATGATCTGCCAATGGAATGAGTATTTTTACTCTTAAAATAAGATTTTTTAGATAAAATGCACTTGAAATAAGACAATGCATTTGTGTTTTCTTATTTTAAATGTAAATTGTCTTGTTCCATTGACAAAATGTCTCTTTTACCTCCTCAATCCAAGAACAAACTAAATGACTTATCTAGATTTCTATTTTTTCTAGTGTGTTAAATCACTTTTTAGCCCTGCTCCCTGGGGCAGTCATAGTTCTCTTTTATAGCAGGACTATAGGCCATTGTTTTGGGATTTGTTTTTACTTAGAAGCAGGATGGTCAGCTTCAGCTGCTGCAGATAATACTGAGCTTAGACTCTGCCTAAGTGTTGATCTAGCTTATACATTTATTTGCCTTTTTTATATTTAAATGAATTTAAAGAGGATCCAGTTTGCTGGTTTTTGTGGCTGCAGAATCTGTAGCTGGTAAAAACTAAAGATGGACGTGCTTAAACAGGTTGGTTAGCCTCAATAGAGCCATCCAGGGTTTGAATCTCAACCTCAACCCCTTTGCTGCATTCTGCTAAATCCAAAGTTAACCTATAAATGTAGATCTTTTAAATTCCAGGGTGATAACGTTTACCGTAAAGGAATAAAAAGAACTGGTTGCTGATTCGTAGAGACAGTTTGTAGTTTTGAATGCATCTAGGAAAATAAAAGGATTAGAAATGTATTCCCATCTCTGCATCCATGCAAACCCTTTGGTCATCCCCCTTTTCCATTTAATTAGATTTTCGGTTCTGTTGAATAAAGTTTACCTATATTTCCTTTTAGGAAAAAATGAATTTGATTAGTTTTATGAGTTTTTATTTAAACTAAAAACAAATGTTAAAGGAAAAATTATAAATGTTAAGCTGCGTTATGCATGAAAAAGAGTATAAATGGTTGCAGAAAAATCCACGTTCTAGTTTGTCAATCTACAGAAACCATCATTGGAAACTGACCCAGTCTGATCTATGGAGCATTGATTGCTGCTACAGCACAGCTTAAATCAGATTCAGATGGCATCATTTCTGGTGAAGGTGCCTGAAGCGTTTTCAATTGCAGCCTTTTGGAACGCTTTTCTGAAAAACTGGAGGTGTATCTCTGAACGCATCCACGTCTCCTGCTGCTGCTGCTGTGCTGGCAGGGGTCCTTTCTGCAGATCAATACTTCTCCCACCTTCACAGGTGTTTCACACATTTGGTTTCTCTAATTGCTTTTTATGTTTGATGCAAAAGAGAGAAAAACAATGTTCTGTAATTGTGCATCTCTGGTACCAGCTCTACTATCTGCCTAAGTAATTTGATGAATAATTTGATGAATAATTCTGCCTAAATCTCTAGTTTTCCGCCTCTTAAACCCTTTCTTTTAGTTATTAAAGCTTAATAGGCATTAATAAAGATCAGTTCCAGCTTGCTTGCATGTAAACGGTGAACCTCAGGCGGATATGAATCGCTTACGCAGGGAGTGTCCCTCTGAATGGATAGTACACAAAACAAACCACACCGTCCATTTATTTAGCACACGATGCCAATTAGAGCAGCGTCCTGCAACAGAGGATCTGTGTCAGTGTGCAGGATTATGTAATGAGTGCCGCCGCCGCTCCTAGGGGACGCCAAGTTGACTGTAGCTCTGGGTTTTTTACCCAGCCTTACATCATCCACCCTGGCCCTCTGGTTCTGGTCGCCCCGGCTAGCAGACTAGAGAGTTTTAGAATCTGGACTGTTCCTCTGATCCCTCCTTGGTTATGATGACTCACCCCATGCCTCTCTGCAGCTTTCTGCATCCAAACAGTAGGCGGAGATCAGAAACACTCCCACAGAGAGCAGAGCAGCTGCAGTGTGTCTGAAGGCCTCGGCGTGTGCGCAGCATGTTGATGTCAGCACAGAGGAGCCCTCTCTGGCTCCGCGGCCCCAGTGCCGCTGCCTCCACTCTGGTTGCTTCCAGCTGTGCTGTACTGGAGATTTTATTTTTTCCCCTTGATACTCCTTTTTTTTTTTCTGTCACACGCTTTTATTCGCTCGCTCCAGTTCCTCCAGACACATTCATCGCTCATCACGAGTTCAGTGGGCCAGCATGGCTCCTTTGAGAGCCAGGAATGCTGACATCCTGGACGATTAATGGAGGACAGAAGCAACGAGAGCCATCAGAGCTTTTTCAAACATGATCTGGGCTTAAAATGTAAAGCACAAGCGACTCCCAGCAACTGAAAAAAACACCAAAAATAAACCCTGATGTCTTTGGGTTTCATACAACATACATTGGTGACCACATTTTGGCGACTCCCAGGGGGAAAAATGTGTAAAAACCTCAACATAAATTCAATGTTTAGTAGGGATGGAATGGTTTATGAAAACCGTCCGAACCATTCGGTTCGACCGTCTCGGTTGGATTCGCGTGTGTTTCGTTCGGTTCATGCGCTGCTCTTTTTTCTCATAGGCAAAGCGTTTACACTCCAGAGCAGAAGGTGGCGGTACTGCGACCAAAGCCAACCACCAGTAGTAAACAAGAAGAAGAAGAAGCGAAGCAGCGTAGCCGGGTGTAGCAGGGAAAAAATCAGTTGTTGTGGAGAATTGTGTGGGTATGGCGAGTGGGAAAGAACAGGAGTTGGAAGACGCGCCAGCAGCACTTTATAGGTCTGCTGTATGGGAGCACTTTGCATTTAGAGTGACCTACGATGACGGCGGAAAGAAAGCTGTGGTTAAAAGTGCAACAGTGTGCAAGCATTGTGCAACACGTTTTGTTAATGCTAACAGCAACATGACCAACATGTCAGGCTAACAATCAACATATACCGAACCGAAAACCGTGACCACGAAACCGTGAACCGAACCGAGGATTTTGTGAACCGTTCCACCCCTAATGTTTACAGAAGTAGCATGAAAAACACACACACAAAAAGCAGTGTCCCATTCTAAAAAAATATTTTTTTTTACGTTTTTAATCATGTTTATTATTACATGTGCTAAAAACCCGATTTGTCACTCGATATTTGTCGCGCGTTCTGTCTTGCCTTAAAAATAACCAATCATAGTATTAATGGTTTCTTTTACTTACTTTTTGTTTATTACCTTAATGAGCAGCCTTTTGGCTAACCACATTGTTTACAAATAAATTGTCCTGCTTTTAATTTCAAAGAATCAGCCACATAGCAAGGTGTCCGAGCAAAAGACCCCACAGCATTACTGCTCCTCCACTGTGCTTAACAGCAGGGATGGGCTTCTCTCCTTCACATTAGTGCTCAAGAAGCTTAATGCAGGTCAAATGTTTAGTCAAAGCAGAATTGTTTTTAAAGTGCACATTTACATTTGTTGTAGTAGGACTGGAAAGCTGGGGCGGCGCTGGCTGGCTCCCTGCAAAGTTTTCTTTTCTCTTACATCTAAAGTGAAGCTACAGTAAAACTAACACTGTCTCTGTCCATAGCCAATCACCGCACTTAGCATCAGCGTATTAGCAGGGTATGCCATCATTCGCAGCAGCTACCCACCCAGAGCACAGTGACTGAATAAATAAACTTAATGTAATGAACCTTAAATTGAACTTTATTGATCTCACATTGGAGAAATTTCCCTCTGCATTTAACCCATCCCCATTGGGGAGCAGTAGGCTGCCATTGTGCGGCGCCCAGGGAGCAATTGAGGGTTAAGGGTCTGCTCAGAAACCCAGAGTGCACAGCTCAAACCCACTAGGTCAACATTCATTTGATGGTGATAATCTGAATCAATGAATGTTGGTAATCGAGGTCTTTGAAACATTCAATGACTTTTGGCAACCCTGAATGAAAGATTGATTTGCTTAAAGTAAAATTTGTAGATTTTCTCTGCTGCTCACATGCAAACAGAACCTCTACGCTGAAAGATGAACATCTCAACCCCTTTTTAAATCCTCAGGTTTTTACTTTAATGGTAAAAACTGGTCAAAACATATAAATAAGGAGTTGTGATTGCCCAGAGTTTAATGATAAACAGTCCTGTTTGGTTCAGAAAGTCACAAAGCATTTTTACAGCTACAGATCAGCGGTTCCTGGGTGCGTTCTGGACCCCCACCTGCTTTAACTCCATCTACCATCTACCTGAATGTCCTGCTCTGTCGGAGAGCCGGAGGATCGGCTTAGAATGAGAGGAGGGAGGGGTACAAAAGGCCGAACGTGTAAAGAGGAAGAAGAAAGACTGGGCATGTTGCCTTTAGCTGCTGATGCTTAGGGAGAAAAGGAAGAGGGGAGGAGGTTTCGATGCGACTCCCCTCTTCCTTATACGGTCACACGCAGCATGGACACCAACAGAAAGTCCACTCAGGGAAAAACATCGGCTTTTAAAGCTTACATAAACAGCCGGACCCACAGCAGGGAAGGGAAGAGGAAAGGAACGACGAGGAACTCTGGAATCTGAAAGGGAGTAAGCCGATAAATTCCTGAACTTTTAGCAGGCCCGCACGCAGAGACCTAAGGCCCCTTATTACATCAGAGGCTGCTCAGCCTGCTGGCTGCGGACTGGTCTGGAAGGGACGGGTGGGATCAGAGGCATATTTGGACAATGAAGGGAAATCCAGCCACGAGGCTGAGTTTCCAATTGCCTTGAAGCATCATTTATATGCCTGACCTCAGTCACCTCAGGGCCTTTTAGATCTCCTCCTTCTAAAAATATTTAATTTTTCATGTTAAATCTTTAAACTTTAGAATGTATTTTAAGTGGCAGATCCAGAAAACTCTCACAGTAAAATCTAAAAGCTAAATATTTGTATTTCAGGGGATAACTATGATGTCTGTGCCATCTGCCTGGATGAGTATGAGGATGGAGACAAACTCCGAGTCCTGCCGTGCTCTCATGGTGAGTTTTCTTAAATTTAAGTCCGTCAAATCAGCAGGTGTAAAAAGTATAGCAACAGCTGCAAATAACAATACACCAGAAAAGAGCTAAATTAAACATTCGATCTTGTTAAATCTGGAATGAAGAGCATCACCCTTTCAAAAAGGAAATGTTGCCTAACCCAGTGTTCTCCTCCTAGCCTACCACAGTAAGTGCGTGGACCCCTGGCTGACCAAGACCAAGAAGACGTGTCCCGTATGCAAGCAGAAGGTGGTCCCTTCACAGGGCGACCCTGACTCGGACTCAGAGGAGGGCGACAGCGGTCCAGACGAGAACGAGGCCTCTGAGAGCACGCCCCTGCTGCGCTCCCAGGCCTCCACCAGCGCCCACTCCTTCGGCACCATGTCGGGAGCGTCGCGCTCGGAGCAGGACCAGGACTCCTCCGAGTACGACGACGACGGGCTGGACAGCAGCGACAGCGAGGAGGAGGTTACCGTGGGGACTGTGGTGGTGCAGATGCAGCAGCCGTGCTCCGATGAGCGAGATTTGCTAGCCTGAGTGGCCAACTCAGCTGCCCGCCCCGACATCTGCAGACTTTAAGGAGGGGGGACTTACAGATCTATCATATGTTCTTGTCACTGCGTACGTCATACTGCTATCCTCTGTAGGAGTTCCAATGTTTTTAATCGATGATGAGTTGGATGAGCTGCCAAGAGGAAAGGACCCGTAATACAGTAGACTGTATTTATTCATGGAGACCAGAGGGTCCACCTGCTCTCATCATGCCTGACAGAGCTGCATATTATTGTCTGTATATATCAAGTATAAATCACCATAACTTTCATATTAACCTTTGATTATCTTCAGTCCCATGTGTGTAATATACACAGATATACTGTATATAAATCCACCTTATATTCACCGGAACTGAACCAATATGCAGCACCTTCATTTCAGCTCACTATGGAAGCAAATCGTTACCATATTTCAAATGAAAAAGTGTTTTCATTTTAAGAATGTGGCTGCATTGTTTGACTCATAAATGAAATTAGTAATCAATAATCCTGTTTGCATTTTCTTTAACAGCGCTCAACCTTTTACTCTGCTGTGTTTTCTGTTTGATTATGGCATAAAATGTGCAGTTTTAAAGAAGAAAATTGCAAATACAAATAGGATGATTGATTACTAATTTCATTTAGGAGTCAAGTAATGCAGCCACATTCTTTAAATGAAAAGGCATTTCTGGAAATGCTTTTTTATTTTCAAATTTTACATTTCAAATTGAATTTTGGTATGTATTTGCTGGGGTACATTTTGAAAAATAAACCTTTTTTTTCCCATTTTAATTAAGTAAAAGGACAAGCAGTGTTAAAGAAGAAAATGCAAACAGGATTACTAATTTCATTTATGAGTCAAACAATGCAGCCACATTTCTGAAAATGCTTTATTTGAAATATGGTAAGGATTTGCTTCCATAGCTCACAGCAATACTCAGTTGCCATTTTACTTTTAGGCCGTCTTGCAGTTGTTTAGTGCCACGTTTTGTTTTTATGACTCACATATGAAGTGCAGGACAGTGTTGATAGATTTAAGGAAGAAATATGATTCAGCCTTTTGAGGCATAACTTTTTTTTTGTAATTTTCTGCAGTCAACTTGTTTTTTTTAAACTAAACTTCTTAAATCTGGTTATGAAAATGTTCTGATATGGTTTAGAGGAAATGTGCAGGGTTCTTTCGTTTTATTCATCCACAAAATGACAAGTCATGTTGCCTTTTTAGTTATAGTTCAATCTTTTCTTCCCACCCATGTACATGTTGAACAAATCGTAATAAACCCTGAACAAAACATTCCTGTCCATGATTTTCTAAAATTTGGGCCACCCAGGTCATTTATTTTCTGCTCGACTGTAAACAGATATTCAATGGGATGGAGAGCAGCTAATTGAAACCTCCACGTTCCAGTATGTAAATGTCATGTTTCTCAAGTGTATTTAATTTTGACTACTATGGCTTATAGCTAATGTAAACCAAAGATCTGTTTGCCAGAAAACTAGAATAGGTGCCAAAGAAGGATTGCTATACTTGAAACAAAGAGCTGAGTGGAAGGGAAACTGATCGGAACATCGAACGCCAATAACTAAAGGTGAGAGGATTGAGGCAAAACTGATGTTTGAGGCCATTTTGAGAATTTTGAAATAGATCAAGTAGTAAGTTAGGTTCACTTTTAGATATGTGATATTAACTTTTTCTCCTGTTTCTATGTATTCCAAACAATTCCATAGTTTTAGATCCATAAATGAATGCAGAGAAGACAATCAGGACCATACAAATTGTTAAAATACTTCTATCAAATTTAGATCCATGCTCCATAAATCAAAAAAGGTTTTGGATGAAGTTTGTTTGATTATTTAACAATTTCCCCTTTTTCCCCCTCTGAATGTGGATCAACATCCATCATTTCCTGGATTTTCCTCAAAACCTCATTTGAATCTTTGCATTTACAGATCCAGCAAATCAGAGTTGAAAATGCTTAAAGTGCAACATGGTTGAAATAAAATCTCCATAACATCCAGAAGGGATTGTAAAATTGATAACCGTAAAGTGGAGCATTAAACATAAATTTAGGGCTGATTAAAGCACAACACTGGGCTTTATTTGGCAATATCAAGTGATGGTTTTTCAGGATTCCTGACTTTAAAGGAACATTTACTCAATTTTCTGCTCCTGTGCTGAAGAACCCTGTTCTTAAAAACATTTTCATCCATTGGTTTCTCTAATGTACAGGCATAATTGGCATCTCCTACCCATCAGTTTAGTTCATACATTTTAAAAACATAGCTTGGCATGTTTTTAAGACATTTGAGGTCACATTAGCTTAATATCAGAGGCCCACAGCTAAGTTACCCCCATACATCAAAAGCTATGTAGCTTAAAATAAAAGGTCAAGTTTTTTTAAACCTAGTAATACCTTATATTTTTATGTAGTTGAAGATTTAGCAAAGTCTAACTTAGTCTAGAGAAACAGCCCTGGAAAGAAAAATTATATATTTTTTAGCTTTAGAACCAGTCTGCATTTTTAGGCTCAAAATTGAGCTCTGGTTAAACCTAGATAAGAATTCAGACCTTCAGAGAAGCAACCGTGAGCAGTTCAGTTTTAACGCCTTCAGCAGAAACCGTTACCGCAGAAAAATAAGGAATCTTATTTTTCTTAGATCTTACTTGAAGTTCCAACCAAGGATTAACAACTTTAACCTGCAACTCCTAGGTCCAGCGATTGTATTAATACAGCTCTGACAAGAAACAGCTAGCATTCCTCCAGGCCTATGACAGTAACGGAGCAGTTTCCATAAAATTAACAGCACACATGTAAAAGAAAAAGAGTAAACGTTGTTCTGGTTGGAATAAATTTATTTGATCTGTCTGTAAACAAGGTGATAACTCAATTTATGGCATTTCTTTGTTTATGCATACAACATCAGATGCATTAAAGACTGTATCCCAGATGTAAGAAAACAAAAGAAAAGGTGGCGAGGAAAGGAAATTAACAGATCAGCAAACAGGACTTGAACAGTGTTTATGAGTACACATATCCCACAAGGCCTAAACAGTTGAGCTGACGCTACAAAGTGCCGATGAAATGACTCCTTAGCCAACAGTGGGTTAAAATCCTTCTTTCAGATCTCTGCATTATGGCACAGGATACACAGGTTCTTAAGTTTCAACAAGACAACCATGAGCATCTTTGTTCCAACCAATACCATCTCCCATCGAGTGTCATTTTCTACTTTAGAAGTTAGTTTTTCAGTTGGACATTAGAGTTAGCAGTTCTGAGCTTAGACTGATCAAGTCATGCCCCCACAGCTCAGCTGACTAAAGGCAATTTATTCCACAGTTATGTAGTTGTCAACACAGCATAAGTTTGTACAAATGCGTTTGTTTTTAACAGTAGTGAGGATTTTCTTCAGGTTCACCCTGCACTGTACCCCTTCAGTTTTAACTTCAAACATCTGCCTGATTAGTTTCCTTCATCAGAAAAAAATGTGTCATCCTTCACATGAGTTAAAGCAGTTGTATAAACACCCAGGCCGCAACTACACTTGGTCCTATAAAAAGAAAAAAAAAGGAAAAAAACTGGACACGTTCCAGGTTGGTATATGCTGGGATATTTACTGTCCAAATAAATGGCAGCCTTTCAAAAATTAAAGCAAAAAAAAAAAAATACAGAAAATGGCAAACTAAACAGTGTTAAGTGCCTGAGCCTGTTACTGTGGAATGTCCATGGATTTTGTGTTGGGATGGTCGTGATGCCAGGTGGGTGGGTGTGGGGAGGGGACCATCTGCATCTGGATGGAATATGAACAGCACCCATGCAAAGACCACCCCCCCTTTCATCAAAACCATTCCTGGACAGAACAGCGACTCTGCTGGGAGAGGTGGGTAGTGTTCAGTAAAGGGTAAGAAGTTATGTAGTGTCGTCCGATTCGAGCCAAACTGATGGGGGAAGCTAAATAATTTGGCAAGAAGGTTAGTGTAAAGGTGGTAGAAGATAACAGATATGCACAGTCTCCCCCCCTTTACATGGAGGAAATAAAGGAAGACATGACGAGCTCTGTTGGAGCTCAAATGCTCCAAAAGGCATAGGCTGCTCAAGGAGGGAGTGTGTGATCTGTGAGGATTTAGTGGAAGGTACCATAAAACACAAAAGGAAAAAAAAATAAAAATCTACAATTTGATGCTATAACTTCCTTTGTCTAAGTGTTCTGTCAAAATCCTGTTTGTTTTTTTGCTGGTCTCTGTTAAGTACAGATTTGTCATGACATCCTGTTTAGCAACATGCTCGTCTTTGCTATGGATCAACAGAAGAGTGCTTGTAAGGAGATATAAGACTATACAGAGCAATGTGTGGAGGAAAGGGGGTAAATGAGGGGGGGGAGAAGGCAGAAAAATTAACTACAAACTAGGACTGGAAGTAGTGTGAAATGCAACAGGGTGGCAAGGGTGAACTGCTAGGTAGCTGGTTACAGGTTGCTTTAGTAGGAGAGCTTCCTCAGGTAATCAGCCATCTGATATGCTTTCTTGTTGAGCCCTCCGCCATGGACACCTTCTTTCCCCATGACAATAACCAATGCTGGAGTACACAAAAGGACAAAAAAAAAACCATGAACAAGAATGATGAGAGCAGGGATGGAAAAATTAAAACACTTTGCTCTACCTCTTAAATATGGGGCTACATTGATGCCCTGCACCCTTAAATGCTCCCTGGAGGATTTTATCTGATGAGACTGCCTGGGAGGGGGGATATTGGCTTGACAGAAACCTTTTTTTGTCCTTTTGAGTTTTGTGTTTTTTGTTTTCCCTTTTACTTTTTTTTTTGTATTTCCTCTGCTACGCCACAAAAGCTACTTCTAATCTAAAACCCTGAATCCCTCAAGTATTTTGCCATCGAGTATGCCTTCTTATTCAATCCGCCTCCATGGACCCCTTCTTTGCCCATTACCAAGACCAAGACTGAAAGAAAAGAGACAGAAGGAACATTTAGAAGGGAGGTGGAGATCACACAAGTGGAGAAAAAGCCAGAGCCAAAAAGCAGCAGGCAAGACAACCATAAAAAAGCTGTGCAGTGCCTTTGGTTTGAAGGTTGCAGGAGAGGGAGCCTTCATTTTCCTATCAGTGCTACTGGTGAGCCATGTCACAACAATAAATGTGAACATGACAGCAATAAATATTGCATGCACCTTGTTTGACAATATTCATTTTTCAGGATGAAAAAGATAAAGCAGAGAAGCAGTCTAAAAGCCCATTTCCATTTAATCACCTCACCTCTTTGAAATAAACATAAGGATTTTGTTAAACTAAATAGCTTCTAAGAACTTATGTTTCATATAAAGCTGTATGCAAACTGAGGTAACCCTATCAAGGATCTTAAAGCAGAACAAGATGAGGGAAGGTTGTCCTGTGAACACGTCACTCAACTAGTTTCACAGATCATTGCTTTAACTAAATATTTAATAAAGCAAAAACTGATCGCATCTTTAAGGGAAAGTAAAAGCATAATGAAATATGCAGTTACTAAAT